GAACTAAAATTTAATGTGCCTAACTATTTAAGTACATCCAGAATAATACACAAGCACCAAGAAATGACCTCGAAAACCCATAAGTGGCGAGTAATTAGCATTGCAAAAGTAATTAAAATATTCTAAAAATCATTTGAACATTTTCTAAAAGCCATTTGAACAAGTTATAATCAAGATATCAAATTTTGGTTAACAGATCCTTGTACAGCACATTCAGGAGTACCTATACTGAAATTTTGAACAAAATCCATTTTTTGGCCGAAATGACGAAAATTGTAAGTCTATAGCTTAAAGGATTTTTTGACCAAAAATACGTTTTCTCTCTGAACTAAAATTTAATGTGCCTAACTATTTAAGTACATCCAGAATAATACACAAGCACCAAGAAATGACCTCGAAAACCCATAAGTGGCGAGTAATTAGCATTGCAAAATTAATTAAAATATTCTAAAAATCATTTGAACATTTTCTAAAAGCCATTTGAACAAGTTATAATCAAGATATCAAATTTTGGTTAACAGATCCTACAGCACATTCAGGAGTACCTAATGAGAATCCAAGGCGAATCCCAAGGGATTTTTCCAGGTATATAGGACAAAGGTCATGGATAAAGTTGAGCTTTTAAAGTCAGGGAGGGGAGAAGTGATAAATGGCAGTGAAGAAATAAGCAAAGCATTGAACACTATTTTATCAGTTTACATTAGAAATGGATGAAATTCCAGAGGAACTGATATTTAAGGGAAAGAAGAGAAATTAAAGAATTTCACTATCAGAAAAGAGGATGTTCTAAGATAAATAAACTAAAGAAAACAAAATACCCAGGGCCGATGAAATTTTCTCGAGTCTTGAAGGAGTGGGAACAGATTAGCGGACCCCTCGTAAACTTATTTACAAAATCATAGACACGGAGTTGTGCCAGACTTGTGGAAACAGGCAAATGTAGTACCTATATAAAAAGGAGACAGAGCATCAGCGTCAAATTACGCGATCAGTTTGACGTCAGTAGTGGGGAAATTTCGAATCAATTATAGCAGATAGCATCCGATCGCATCTAGAGAAAAGCAAATTAATCTACGACTCTCAACATGGGTTTACAAAGGAAAATCTTGTCTAACAAATCTGCTAACGTTTTTTAGGAAAGTCTTCGAGGTAGTAGATAATGACAAAATTACGATGTTATTTACTTAGACTTTAGCAAAGCATTTGACAGAGTACCAGATCAGAGGCTTCTGAGAAAAATAATGTCTCGGTATCGAGGGGAAAGTTTTAAAATGGATAAAATCATGGCTCACCGATAGAACGCAGAGGGTCAGCGTAGATGGTGTTAAATCTGAGTGGGGCCGTAACCAGTGGGGTTCCCCAGGTCAGTACTAGCCCCACTTGTTCATAATCTACATAAACGATCTAGATACTGGGATCAGCAGTGACATAAGCAGTTTTGCGGATGACACCAAAATAGGGCGGCAAATTAATTCAGAGCAGGATGCAAGATATGGAGGATCTAAATAAACTGCAGGGGTGGTCTGAAAATGGCAAATGAAATTTAACACCAGCAAGTGCAGCGTACTTAATATTGAGAACAAATACTTATAATGTATACAGCCTTAACAACATCAACCTAGAGAAGTCGACTTGTGAAAGAGACCTGGGGTACTTGTGCCCGGACCTACGGCCTAAAACAGTGTTAATGTTCGAAATAAGGCAAACAAAGTATTGGGTTTTACATCTAGAAGTGGTAACAAGAGTGCAGAGGTCTTATTGCAACTATATTTAGGCTAGTCAGGCCGCACCTCGATTATGCGGTTCAGTTCTGGTGCCCCTATTATAGAATGGATATAAATTCACTAGAGTCGGTGCGGCGAAGAATGACAAAAATGATTCCGGGACTTAGAAACCTTCCATATCAGGATAGGCTAAAGAAACTTAACTTGCATTCCTAGAAAGACAAGAGTGCGGGAGATATGATAGAAGTATTTAGGTGGGTGAAAGGAATCAATAAAGATAGATAAAGTTCTTATAATATCCGAGCAGGATAGGACTCGGAGCAACGGATTCAAGTTGGATAAGTTTAAGGAGAGGAGGAGAGAAGAAACTGGTTCACAAATAGGTGGTGGAGGAGTGGAACAAGCTTAGCAACTTTGTAGTAAGTGCGGGAACTCTGGAAAGTTTCAAAAGGAGGCTAGATAGATTCATGGATGATAGAGAGAGGTAGTAACTCTCGACAGGAGCTGCCATGCACAGGCCAACCGGCCTATTGCAGACTCCTTATTTTCTTATGTTCTTATGTTCAACCAAACCAAACAAACCTTACCTAACTTCCCCGGTATAATAGACAGAAAGAACTTGCTATGATATGTTGAAATTTGAGTCATTTTCTGGATGTGAGATGATACGGCGCTATGCAGCCCTGGCGGGTTAGTCCTATACAGTACATTAACCAAAATCTGAAATAGTTATTGTGATAAAAACGAATATTAACCCTATTAATTTTGTCAATTCACCAAATCGTCGACGACAACGAATTATTTCTTGCTACAAACACCAATATAAACTACACTAATACCGAGGCAGCATAATATATAAGTTGGCGGAGTTTATCTATGCTGCTACCTTTTCATAAAACTTCTTCACCTAAATCTTCATTTGATGACGGAATAAAACTTCCAATAACTACTTGAGTTGGTTGACAAACTACCATGGAGGTGGTTAACCATCTCTAACATCACATGTAACTTAATCATGAAAATTATAATACCAACAATATACTCACCACTGAGGGCAGAAGCGACATAAGCTTGTGTTTAAACAACTTAATATAAAAATACTAAAAATTTAATCACCACACAACAGTCGGTCACGCCACGTCCTTCCTTCACGGCTCACTCAGGCAAATGGCTTACTGGTGACGTCACAATGGTGTGTTATACCAAGGAAGGAATATATCGAGAAACTTGTACTACATTCAATTAACGTTCAGCCCCTGATTGCTGCGCCATCTCTTGATTAAATTTTTCTTATAATATTTAAGGTCATCATAGAAAACGTGTTGTTGTCTAGAGAACGAGTTTGTCTTTACCGCAAACTCCTGTCATAAGCCATATACGTTTTATTCTAGCAGCCATTGCATAAATATGCATAATTGTCTGCTTATACATTTATATATTTATTTATTCACGAGCAATGATGTTCCTTAAATAAAATAAGAGGCAATACCATGTTGTACAGTACATGAAATAACATAAATAAGGGACTTAGGTGGTAGATAAATATAAGTTAAAACATCAAAAGCAGGCGGGCAGGTAGACTTAATCTTCGTGATATCCACAAAAAGTAGAAAGCAAAAAAAAGACTAAGTTTCAGCTTTCAGTCTTGAAAATATATATAGTTCAGAGTGGATAAGGCCGAAATACATTACATGTTTGAATGTTCTGATAAGAATCACACACACACAATATAATTTTAATTTAAGACAGCATACAGCTTGCTAACACTTCCTACTAAGATTGGGGAGATAATCTTAAAACTTTGTGATAAACGGCAATCAAGCTGGGTGGAAAAGTTAAGTGAAACCAGAGAAAAAGAGGGGAAATACATATTATACTTGGTTTGTGTTGTCAATAAAGGGAGACACTGTATATCCATCCCATTTAGATTGTTGCGAGAGAAACATATGCAGTACAGCCCCAAGTAATAATACGTTAGCATCTCAACTTGAAAAACAATATAATCTAAACCTACAACCCAGAATGCAGCCACTGTACCACGTAAGTATAAGTGCAGGCAACTGTACATCAGTGACAAAATCAGTTAAATTCCTACCTGGATGTGGTACACTTTTCGTATTTTGGTTCAGCTTACCTGGGCTTCATGTAATGTACTGTACTAATCAATCCTACTGTACTTACCTCAATAGTGTCCTGTAATGTATTCTTTTCCTTCGTCTTTCTAAGTACTGCACGTGATAAACCTTAAGAGAAATAGAACAATCTTCACTGAAACAAGATAACAACGCAGAATGTATACAATGTACCATTTATATTTCTGCTCACGAGGATAATTTGGTGCACAAACATCAAGGTTCTGGACTTTATTAAGAATAATGTATGGTCATTTAGTGCCTGGCAGACTGATCAGGGAATTATACAACTGGTATTATTGTGCAATGAACTAATGAAACTGCAGCAGCTTAGTCCTGACACACACACACACACACCAGAACTTACCTTTAACATCTAGTGTGTGGTATTTAACATGTGTTAACCTAACCTAACCTAACCTTCCCAGATATTGTCGTCCGCAAACTTTACAATGCGGTGAGATATATTTTCATTATGTTAGCTATGTAGATGACAAACAGGTTGGGTCCAAGGATATATCGTTGAGGTAGTTCATCTTTTCCCATTCTGAATGCACTCCGTTTATGACTCCCCTCCGTTGCCTGTTGTTGGTTGTGCTCTAAGTGTGTTCAAGGTCGGATACCTTTACTGGAAGTGTAGAGAGTTAAGAAACAGAAAAACGGAGAGAGTGAGAGAACAGGAAAGACAGAGAGAAATAGAAGAGAGAGAGAGAGAGAGAGAGAGAGAATCATTAGGTTTTTCCCGCCTTATCTACAGAGACAACCACTTTATTCGCCGGACACAACTTTCTGTATTCCTTGATAACATTGACCTGAGTACAAACACAAATACATACACTACATAAATACATAACGTGTTAATGACTTTCTATTCGAGTTTTGTAGTGTGAAGGTTATAGGATTGAACTCTAGGGATTAATTTATTGTGCTGAAGGAGTTAAGTCATTCATCATACTCATGGGGTTAAGTCATCATACGCAAAGGTTTTAATTATCGTTATTCGTGGGATTAAGTCTTGTGTCATTTCTTTATTAAAATTAATTATAAAAGGTGATAAGACAACGGATGTAACAGGATTCTCAGTCGACCGCCACATAACCTACTCGTTAGTGTACTATCGGGGCCCGCTGTGTCTTGTGCGTCCGTCTGGTTTGTAGGCGCCTCGTCAACACCACTCTACAACACACTTCACCTGTCATTTTAGTGGGTGTTATCTAGAGTAGAAGCTGATTTTCAATGACCCGGAAGGTATTAGCAGTCGAAATACATTAATCCGGAAAATTTTAACATCTACAAGACATCATCCCATGGTGGGTATTACAGTATACAGATGAAGATAAAATTCTCTAGTTGCTTGGCATTATTTGGTATTGTGTTTATTCTGTCTATGAGAGTGTCACCCACAGGACAGGTACACTGTATCTTCACTTGTTTTATAAGTACATAGAGTATTCCTTCCCTGGTCTCTCACCTTCTGATAACAGGACCCGTCCAAGACAGATGCTGAGGACTGGCGTGTGGACATAGAAATGATGGAGCGTGATGAGCTAGGAGGCACTGGAGACGGAGGAGGCCTTAGTGACGGAGGAGGACCTAATGGCGTAGGAGGACCTAATGACGGAGGAGGCCTTAGTGACGGAGGAGGACCTAATGGCGTAGGAGGACCTAATGACGGAGGAGGCCTTAGTGACGGAGGAGGATCTAATGACGGAGGAGGACCTAATGACGGACTACTTCCGTTACTCAGGGTAAAGTTGATTGTATCAGCTCCGGGAAAGAGAGAGAGAGAACAGAAAGCCAGCTGCAGCAAGAGTTAGCCTTGGTAGTGTTATAAGCAGTCAGTCTCAGCCAAGGTCTGATTAATTCAATCGTGTGTAACTCATGGGATAGCATTCCTACCTTGTCCTACCCTACACTACCATGCCCTGCCTGCCCTACCCTAGCTTATCTTACTCTATCCTACCCTACCCCACGCCTACCCTAGTCTCCCGTACACCTACCCTCTAGTCAAGCCTAACGTCCTCTAATATACTCTACCCTCTATCTATCTTAACAACATAAGAATGGAGGAAACTGCAGCGGGCCTATTGGTCCATACTGGGCAGTCCCATTTACACCCAACCCCTATCACTCATAACCAACCTGTTTGAAGCTATCCAGCGTATTCGAGTTAATGATGATGTTTGGTAACTTGTTCCACTCGTCCACTACTCTTTTTCCAAACCAATGGTTAACTATCTCGAGCCTAAATATAAATTTGTCTAATTTGAAACTATTGATATGAATTCACTCATGGTTGGATAGTTTGAGTACCTTTGTTATGTCACCTTTGTTTAGCCTTGTCTTCCATTTATACACCTTGATCATATACTATATCTCCACACCTGTTGTTGGTCCTTCAGGCTATCAAGCACCATGACTTAAACCAGGTGAGGGAGGAGTTACTGCAGAGAGGTGAACTAGAGGCCAGAAATTTGGTGTGTGGAAACCCCAAGTTTCTCCACACTGCTGCTTCCGTCCTGGACCTCGACATCATTAACCTGCTGCTGAGTCTTGGTGCCCAGGTGTGTAGTGTGCCCTCTAGCCCGCTGTGTCCTTCTTGGAGCGGAAAGAGTTTTGAGATCATATGAATATTAACCCCCGCCCCTACCCCCAAGCTTCTTTCACCTCATAATTAAAAATCTAACTCTACCTGGAGGTAATGTTAGATTAGGTTATGTTAGGTCAGGTCAGGTTAGGTTTTGTATGAAACTTTTGATATACTGTACATGTATTTTACGGCATAAATGGTCGTTTATTACGTGTCAGAAGTTTCCAAAAAGAATACATAGGAGTTATCGCTAATATTAAGCTAATATACTGTATGCTAATGAGTTTGGTTCACGTGCCTACAGGTGACGGCTGAGGACAAGGAAGGCAACACAGTGTTACACAGAGCGATTGCTGCTCGACCTTGTGACATCACCGCTCAAGACACCATCCGGGAAATACTAGAGATTTTTCTGGCAGCTGGCGCAGACGTCAACTCAACCAACCAAAAAGAAGAGTCACCGCTTTACTTGGCTGCCCATTTTCAGCTGCCAAATATCGTTAATTTTTTGTTATCAGAAAAGGCTAACCCGACGAAGGTGACGAAGGCGGGGGATACTGTGGTACACGCAGCATGTAACCCAGGTTGTGCCACCTGTCTTAAATACCTCCTCAACACTGGCCGCGTCAGGCATCTGGTGACGCAGCCAAACCACAAAGATGTCCAACCATTTATGTACGCTCTTCAAAGTTGTTCAGCCAAATGTTGTGAAATTTTATTGAACAATGGGAACCACTTGACACGGACACACTGGAATAATATCTCGAGCTGTTCATACCTGATCCAGTACCAACCTACCGCTACCGAACTCCTCACACGAGTATTTGACGCCAACATCAGAGAATCCAATCAGCAAAAGGACAACAAACTCCGCATCATTTTTAACTATTCTGTGATACTGCCACAGACGGAGGGCGGGAGACGGCCTGCACAGAATCTGCTACAGAAGGCCACCACGATACAGAGCTCCATAATATCTGATATCAACAATACGGAGGCAGAATGTCTTCTCAAACACCCGCTCATGGAGACGTTTATTTACCTCAAATGGGGTAAAGTTAAGCACATATTTCACGGTGAGCTTTTCATATTCGCCTTGTTTTTATTGTGCCACACAGTTTACGTCGCTTCGGTGTACGGGGAGACGACGAGGATGATGAGCGATCTCACTACCCATCCACTGTTTCGAGGTTTTCATGCATTCCTTTACTGCCTCACGTTGATTCCAGAGTTAATCATCGTTATTTCACACTTCAAAAGTTATTTCAAGTACATGGAGACATTGTTAACAGCTACATCAGTAATCTGTTCAGGGTATATTGTTTTCAGAAACATTACGATAACCGGGGCATCATTAGTGTCGAGCCTGAGCACCACAGCATCAGGGAACGAAGAGAAAAACGGTGAAAATGAACAGTTGTCAGTAGAGAGAACAGTGGCCGCCATATCAATATTCACTAGCTGGGTCAGGATGATGATGTTGTGTGGTCGACTTGGTTTCTTTGGCTCTAACGTCCTTATGTTCTCAAGAGTTGCTAAATCAGCTGTGAAATTCATAGCGGGATTTTCTGGTCTGTTGATTGGTTTTTCAACGAGTTTCTTCATCTTGTTCCCTGAAGAAACAGAATTTAACACATTTTGGAAGAGTTTGGCCAAGACACTCACGATGATGATTGGGGAGATAGACTACAGCAGTCTAGTGAAGAAAAATACACCCTACATCGTCTACATATTCTTAGTACTGTTTATATTCCTCGTATGTGTCCTGATGGCCAACTTGCTCATAGGTTTGGCTGTAGACGACATAGCTAACTTGAGGAGAAATGGGGAGGTTGAGAAACTCTCCAGACAAGCCACGTTCATTGTCACCTTTGAGAATTTTGCCGTTTTTGCTCGAAACTCCAGGTTTTTCCCGCGCCGACTGGCAACATACTTTATTGAACTCCCAAAAGTGAAGGATGAGAAAAGTTTCAAGATAAATGAGATTAAAAGCAAAAAGTCGTTCCTCTGTAGGTATGATCTCCCGAGAGAAACAGTAGAAAAAGCCCAGTCAATTGCAAAATCCAACCAGACCCTTAAACACGAAGAACTTACAATGACACCGCGGACAATATTAAACGAGATAAAAAAGTTAAGAAAACAGCTTGAAAACTTTTCTACTCTGCTTCAGTTTCAGAACCAAAATCAAAAGTAAAAAAAGTAAGTAAAAAGCAAATAAGAAGTGAAGAAGCTACCCAGTTGTTCACTCCTCCAGTCCTCCTTAGCAACTGTTGGTCAAATGGACACCTCTGATCTAACCCTCACTCCTCTCGGGCTCTTGATCTAACTAATGACAAGTCCACACGAGAGAATATGGGAGGAGCTTATTTTTCATATCCAAAATAAATGGACTTAAATTAATGTCAAAAAGATTAATGACTTATTGTTCCCTTGTAGTCAATACAGTATATTTATGGTAATTTTTTAGTGGGTAGTATGTTTGTGTATTTGTTTGAATTATTATCCAGAAACGAGTCATTGAAGATAAATGTATTTGTCAGAAATTTTCCGGTAGAACAGTAATATTTTCATCTGCTAGTAAAGTCAAGTTTTGCTGATAGTCAGATTAAGTAGGTCATATCAGGTTAGACCAGGCTAGTTAAGTAAAGTAAGGTTTGGTTAGGTTATGCACGGTTAGGTTATGGTTGTGTTGCATTGGATTGGGTTGAGTTAGTTAGGTTAGTTTTGTTTGGGATGAGTTGGGTTAGGTTTGGTAGGACTGGATTAGGTTAGTTCAGGTTGGTTTGTGTTGGGTTAGCTTAGTTTAGGTTGGGTTAGATTGAGTTGGGTTGTGTTGGGTTAGGTTAGTTCAGGTTGGGTTAGATTTGGTAAGGTTGGGTAAGATTAGGAAGGCCATCCTGTTGTTGTGACCTTCACTTCTGAATCTACGGATGTTTCTGTTTACAGCTGATGGTCTCAGTGGATATCCTGTAATGTTTCATCACTTTATGAGTCTTTTCAAATCCTTTAGTAGTAGTAGTAATAATAGTAGTAGTTATAGTAGTAGTAGCTGTCGTTGTTGTAGAAGTAGTAGATACCATTGCTCTTAGGTACGGTTGGCCAATGGAAGGCATGCCCGCCCATTGTATGTGTGTGGAACATCCTACGACCTCAACCACTCCACGGTGTACAGTACAAGAAGTGAGATTTCGTTTGCACAAGGCATGACGAAATAAGGGACCTCACAGCCTAATGATTTTACTGAGGAGCCTCCTACCCGCTGAAAGATTAATGAACCACTGCCCACACTATCTCCTTAACCAATAGCGAATTCATAATAACTGTAAATTAATCACAAGTAACACTAAACATTTTTATATCTGTTGTTTTTGTTGTCTTAGTCATTATACTTATTAAACTCAATAAAATCTATCTTGTTTGTGTATTATTTCCTTTGTGTAGTGGGTGGTGATGTATACCTGATATGAAGCGTCGCCACATTTTCATCATAAATTCCTCAAACCTCAGTTATTTACATTACGGGGTGGTGGGGGGGATGGAGGGGGCGATCTTATTAATACTTCAATACATTAACGCCGCCATGAGGGACGGAGGTATGTGAACAGTCTCCATATAGCCTAAGTCATATTAACTTATTTGTGTGATTCACCTTCCTACAATGCTCCGAGAACTTTAGTTTATTATCAATGTACACATCCAGACTCTTTTTTGTTCACATTAGATCTCAGTTAATGATGTTACTTCGTCTCACTGGGACATATCACGTCCTTGTTGTTGGTACGTCTTAGGTTCAGCGTCTGGCGGTAGCTAAGTAAAATATTAAAAGTTATTTCCCCCATACTGAAGGAGTTAACAGCTGTTCCCTTGGTGTCATGTGGAAATAACCAAACTTGAAGCAGGAAGACAGGCGCGAATAAAATAGAGCATTTTGTGAGGAGTACAATGATGACTTGTTTGATTATCAAATGGTATAAAAAGAAGTCATCTAATCTTGGACAATAGTCACTATCATCATTAGTTGGCTGGACAAGTGGCGAAGAGGATAAAGTATTGAAACTGTACGTGGAGGATTATAGTCGAGTTTACCATGAAATAAAGCCGCGTGAGGGTTTGTTTTCTATGAATCCGGTGCAGCTGTCAAGTTTGAGGAATAACTTTAATAATAAAACATTTAGTCAATTTGACCAAGGTCAGCTAACAAAACCATGAGATGTTTGTTTCCAGTCCTTATGCCAGCAGCGTCTGGTGTTATAAGGGCCAGGCGGTCACCCATCCAAGTGTTAAACAGACCCAACGTTGCTTAACTTCACTGATCGCTCCTCGGATTATATCACCGCTCATAATCCAAAGTATAATGTTCAAGTAAGTTTTAACCTCTGCCACTGATCGACCTGTTCGAGTATTTTATTTTTATTCATATTTTTTCTTGCATTTGTTACGATAATGTTTCAAATTTGTTTTTATATTGCCAAATTGTCTTCTGTGTTGATAAATATTATTAACAACTTCGTCTGACAATGAAAATAAAAATTGAAAATATGAGCCAGAGATTTACGTGTGTGTGAAAAATATAAGAAATTTATTTGACGTTTTAGATAAGATTTCGACGGTGAGGCAAGGCGAGGCGAGGCGAGGCGAGGCAAGGCGAGGCGAGGTGAGGCAAGACACACTTAAAGAATAATGCTTGACAGCTCAATGAGTGAGGCATCTTGCTGACACTGCTAAGATCTTTTGTGGAGATCATATCTATCTATCTATCGATCTATCTATCTATCTATCTATCTATCTATCTATCTATCTATCTATCTATCTCCCACACCATCAAACAGCTTCGTACCCTAATTATAACACCGTAAGATTATTCACTTTGGTTTTTGTTATTCACTTTTTCTCTAACTGTACAATGGAACAAAGATTATACCTCTCTGTACTAGTGTTCCACACTGTATTTATTGTTCACTGCCATAATGTGTTAGTTATCGTATTGTTCAGATTAACAACTGACGGACACCATGTAGATTGGATGTGTAGGGGAGTGTTGTATTAACGGTGTCACATAATAGTGTTGAGTGCGTTAACCCCGTGTTGTGTTACGGCCCCCCAACAGTGCGACGCCCACAGTTATGCGCTCATGGTGTGTGTATGTATGTGTGTGTGTGTAAAAGCATGCCACTGTACCTACATAATATGAGTTGTACCGTACATGCAATGATTCACACACACACACACACACACACACACACACACACACACACACACACAACTCCTGATTTATGTACTGTACAGCCCTGTAAATGTATTCAATGCATATTATATCATTATGTCTAAATCAAATGTAAGTTTGTATATTTTCAGCCACCGGCTGCAACTCTATTAATAAACCGTTTATTATTATTATTATTATTACACAAATATATTTGTGGGAGAGGCAGTAGGAGACAAAAATATAATAAAAGAGAGAGAAAGAGAGAGGGAAGAGGAGATATTTGAAAGGAGAGAGAGAGGATGGGAGAGGTGAAAGGGACGGTCTTCAACTAATATTTCCTCAGTATCCCATAACACAAGACTCTCTCTCTCTCTCCCTATAAAACTCAACAAAAAAAAACCCTGGAGATGAAAAGGTTACCACATATCACCAGATAAATTACCTTGAACTTTTTTGTTGTCATCTTCCACAATTAACATTCTTACAATCTTACAGTTGCGTTTCTGAGTCTTGCAGGTGTTTTATGCTGACAGGTGTGGTATCCCTTAGTGCAGGGGTTCTCAACCAGGGGGGAATTTCCCCCCTCAGGTTTTCAGGGGGGGGGGGTAAACTGATACTAATATGGAAAAAATAAAGGATTTTCAGTATTATATGCATATTATTTGGAATGCACTTTTTGAGGCAGACAATCTTGGAAAGGAGGGGGGAATGACATTCTGACATATGGTGAAAGGGGTGCATGGGGCAAACAAGGTTGAGAACCACTGCCTTAGTGTTTCAGAATGTACCTTAGTGTTTGTTTGTTTTTCAGAGTGCTCCTTAGTGTTTCATAGTGTTTCTTAGTGTTTCTTAGTGTTGCAAAGTGCTCCTTGGTGTTTCAGAGTGTTTCTTAGTGTTTCAGAATGTTTATTAGTGTTTCAGAATGTTCATTAGTGTTTATGAGTGCTCCTTAGTGTTTCAGAATGTTCCTTAGTGTTTCAGAGTGTTCCTTAGTGTTTCAGAGTGTTCCTTGGTGTTTCAGAGTGTTCCTTAGTGTTTCAGAGTGTCTCTTAGTGTTTCAGAAAGTTCCTTAGTGTTTCAGAATGTCCCTTAGTGTTTCAGAGTGTTCCTTAGTGTTTCAGAGTGTCCCTTAGTGTTTCAGAATGTCCCTTAGTGTTTCAGAGTGTTCCTCAGAGTTCCAGAGTGTGTTTCATGCTGTCATTCTATACAGTACATTGTTCGTATACTCCGCACAGTTCGTTTACATAATGAGAACTTTTGCATAATGATTTTACGATATTGCCATTGTCTCAGTTGACCAAATTCGCTAAATCTCGTCCGATCGTCACCAGAATCAGTAAGTAAATAAATAAGTTAGTTAAGTAAATAAGTACAGTTAGTTAAGTAAATAAGTAAAGTTAGTGAAGTAAATATGTAAGCAAATAAGTAAACAAGTAAGTTAAGTAAATAAGTCAGTTAAGTAAATAAGTAAGGTTAGTAGATTAAACGAGACTGAAGAGGGTGTAACACAATTCAGTTTCTTGTGAGTCACTTCCGGTTCACGTTGACTATCAGCGAGAAATACGGTTCAAGGGGCGGTGGCACTAACACACACCACTCTCTCTCTCTCTCTCTCTCTCTCTCCAACACATTGCCATATTCTCATTCACTTTCACTCTCTTGCCTTTGACTGGGTTCGGATAGTCCAGTAGAAAGGTGTGTGTGTGAGAGAGAGAGAGAGAGAGAGTGGATGGGATGCATGGAGGAAGGAAGAGAAGGAAGGAGGAACAGTAGGAAGGGGGAGAGGCAAGTAGAGACAGCATCAGGTGACCTTCATCAGCGGAGATAGAGACAGGTGGTGTACGAGACAGGGGCAAATGGTCACTCACTACCTGGTCACTCACTACCTGGTCACTCACTACCTGGTCACTCACTACCTGGTCACTCACTACCTGGTCACTCACTACCTGGTCACTCATTACCTGGTCACTCATTACCTGGTCACTCACTACCTGGTCACTCATTACCTGGTCACTCACTACCTGGTCACTCACTACACACCATCTATCTCTCCTCCTCCTCCTCCTCCCTACAGTAGAGTCTCGGTGATGAGCGGTTACACTTTCATTAGTCAGGAGAAGCCGTAGAAAACAGCTGTCGGGCCACATCTCTAGCCACACCTCTGGCCACCCTAGGGCAACCCACGGACCACATCTTGGGCCATCCTCGGGCCATCTTCAGGTCGAGGCTTTGGGCCACCCTTGGACACCCTTGAGCCACACCTCAGGTCACATCCTGAGCAACCCTCGAGCTAAATCCTCAAACCGCAACTCGGGCCACACCTTGTGTCACCCTCAGGCCACACCCTTGGGCTACACAGTAAGGCCACACATTCAGGACACACCGTAGGGCCACCTTGAGCCACTCTCGGGCCACCATCACAGAGGTACCTGCCCGCTAGCCTTCACCACGCCCCCCATACACTGTTACGGCGCCGATACCAAAGCCTCCCTCAATAGCCATACCTTCGCAACCATTTTATTACCTTAATATTAAATATCCTAATACATAAGTAGTTATCCTAGCTGTGTAAAGTTAGTTGAGACTCAGATCTATGCGGCATTCAGTGACTGTTGCCTCATAGTCAATATCTGCAGCTGTTGTCGGCTTTGGGGCCGATGCTCTCGTTCCCCTGAGGCAGATAAAAACCGACCTAAGGAGAGAAAAGGACAGTAGACATCTCATCCAGGCTGTAACATAACTTCTGGGCTGCTGCTTCTGTTCGGAGATCACCTCCGCGAGTCTGGCGTAGAAGCATCTTGCACTTGGTCTCATCCCACCAGAGGTTGTGAACACTAGAGGAGTAAAGCTGCCTTGATCAACGTTCTGAATTCTCTCCCTATATGCCCTTATCTTGTCGTTCCTCCTATGTGCAGCATCGAGAGCTGTTGATGTGTTTGAAGTCCTATGTTGGAAAATCTCACCGTCCAATGGAAGGAGGGTCGGTTCTATCCTGACATCACGGCAGATTTCTTTCAACATATTTGCTGTGAGATCCCTTACTTCGTCATGCCTCATGCATATGAAGCCCCCCTTCTTGCACACCATGGCGTGATCGACGTCATAGGAAGAGCCACACACGCATTGGGAGGGCAAACCTTCTACTGGCCTACCGTACCTTAGAGCAATGGCATCTGTAAATTCTTGTTTATTGAGACTACTACTA